AGGAAGGAAGGAAGGAAGGAAGGAAGGAAGGAAGGAAGGAAGGAAGGAAGGGAGGGAGGAAGGGAGGGGAAGGGAGGAAGGAAGGGAAGGGAGGGAAGGGGAGGAGGAGAGAGAAAGGAAGTAAGAAAGAAAGGAAAAGGAAAAAAATCAACGAGAGAACATAGACTGAAAGAAGAGGAGCATATGTGAGTAGAACGCCATAGAAAGAAAGGAAAGGGAAAAAAATCAACGAGAGAACATAGACTAAAAGAAGAGGAGCATATTTGAGTAGAACGCCGCAATAACCCTCCCTTTCATAAATATTTATCCCTGTCATATTATAATTCTTTTTTTTTTTTTCTTCTGACACAAAACGGCTGGCTGGAGCACCGTGGCCTGCTGATTCAAAGCTCTCTTCTCTTAGCAGGTCTGAGACAGTTGAAGAAAGAACCCCAGAGTAGCCACTCAAGATGCTGGACCAGCTCAGCTGAAGAGGGTTAATGTGCTCTGTTTTATATTTATGTTGATTTACTAAATTGGGTTCATTTCCTTTTGTTTTATTTTCCATTATCCCGGTAAACCTATGTATATTATCACCATATTTAATAATCACAGTCTAGAGATGTTCATGGTAAAAGTACTGCCTTTGCACAGGAGCCTGTTTCTAACGAAACCCATGCTGTGAAATAGAGACTTTTCTACTGATCATCAGAACTGTGTGTGAACAGTGATACCAACCACATTGGAAGTCAAACAAAAGGAGATTCAAGTTGAAAATTGCCTGAGGAATGTGTGCAGTATCCAGAAAAATGAACCGTAGTGGGTTTTGGGTTTTTTTTTTAATTTTAAATACAAAAGTCATGTTGTTTCTGCACTTTAAAGCATGGAAGAAATTATCTTAGTAGGCAATTGTAACACTTTCTGAAACTAATTCATTTCAGATTTGAGATACTATAATGATGATTGTCTTTTTAAAAAAAATGTATTGTTAAGGTATTACTTTTTTCATGCTGATGAATATCTAAATCGGATAAGGATTTTAGCTGACAGGGGTACTGATTTATTTAGGTTGGTTGCTTTGTGGATTTCTTTGGTAGTGATAGTGAACCACATTTTAGATGACCTGATCATATATGTATGTGCATACACATATACAAACACACTAATGGTAGAAAGCTTTTTCATGTGCTAGACTATTGTATTTAGCAGTATGTCCTTGTAACTAGACAATATCACAGCTTTTTAAAAATTACAAATCACAATATTCTATTAATATTTCATATTTGCCAATGGAGACATGGCAGAATAGGTATCGATATGTTTTCGATGCCCGATAGATGACCTATAAGGAAAAAGAGAGATTAGAAATATCAAAATGTCAGTTTATAGAATCAACATTTTCTATGAAACATAATATTTAGCTTATAATTAAAGGCAATCTTGAAGGCCAATGTGAATTTTACTAAATCTACCATCTGGATCAAACTCAAAGCTTGCCCAAAACTTTATTCTGTTAATAAGCGAGTTCACAATAGGTTGGCCTAAATGATACCTGAGGTCTCTTCCTTTTTTCAAATTTAAAGACAAGAATTTTAGTGACAAGATTGTGCAGACTGAAATTCCATGGACAGGTATACAAAGACCAACTTTGGCTAATGTCTAGAAGCAGGGAAGAAAAGTAAGCAAAACCCACTGTTTAGAAGTCATGACAATACTTCCATCTTTAATATACTGAACCAATTTTTAAATTAAACTTTTCTACTTATATTATTAGTCATTGGTACTTATCATAAGTTGATAATGTGTCGAACTTTGAAGAAGTATATATAACTTTTATTAGTTTTATCTTTTTCCCCAAGAGTCTTCACCAACTCATCATTTTTACACAATCCAGATATCAGATCTTATTTTAGCTTATACGTGTCCATCTGTTCTTCCCAATAGATGATAAGAGTACTCCAGTGTCTTGGAAATATGTTCTAGCATAGAGATATATAGGGTAGTTCTATAAACTTATACCTCATTTGACTTAACCAAAATGGTCCTAGTCTCAATTCCTACCACAATGAGGGAACCTCCCAAATGACTCTTTTCTAGCTCTTTTTTGGAAGAGCTAGCCAGGGCAGTGCTGGCATGAAGAGTGACCACTGCCTGACAAAGTCTATCTTCCTCAAAAATTAGTAAAGAGTAATTGAATTCTCTAGCTTTTAGCGCACCTGGGACAAAGCAAGGAAAGCCGCCTAGACTGCACAAATCATCTGCCCAAGACAGAGTAGATATGAGTCTGTGATAAGATGAACTATAATCCACAAGTAGTGCCTGATTTAGCATTGACTCCCATCATTGGGATGAAACAGATCAAAGTTTGAATTAAGGCCCATGGCGATGTAACATTGCTTTGTTGTACTTTTGAACAAGAGCTTCGCCTGATCACTATTATATATGTTTTTCTAGAAAATCTAAAGTTGAGAAGAGAATATGTCGATCCTGACTTTTATTCCAATATTTGGATGGAATAAATTTTAGGGTAGAATTTTGTTTAGTTTGGATTTAATCTTTTGAAAAACAAATTCTTTGTTTACCTGTTTGATTACAACGCTCTTTGTTATCTTTAAGAGGTAAAGCTGCAAAGTGACTAGCATGTTCTGTGAATCTGCCATTCCTAAAAATTTTATAAACACTTGATATTTGTCACTGATAATTGATCGCTGCAATAAATATGTATTGTGAAAAAGCATCCACAATAAATGGAATTCCTCCAAACACCTTTGCCTCACTTATCTTTATGTACTGTATGGATTACGAGAGTTATTTTTGTTGTAATATAGATGATGGCATAGCAAAATGTCTATTTCCGATTAAGACTTGGTTTCGCTCTTTAAAAAAAAAAAAAGCCATTTTATATTTTTTAAAAACTTCTAATTACAGGCCATTTTCTAACAAAATACTGAAAATTACTCTGGTATAGACAACTGACCAAACATGTACAGAACAGGTTGAAAAGAGAGATTTTAAAATTTCTTTTTCAACAAATTATCAAATATTCCTCTATCCTCCTTCTCATTCCCAGTGCTGTCAAATAGCACCTTCTTTGATCCTGAGATGGCACAGTACTGTTTCCCCAAAGGCAGTGCTCATTTAACATATACCATTCATTTGAAGAATGCTCACTATTGGCAAGGCACGGACGATTACATTTATATCCCAAGATGTTTCTTCATTGTAATTTAGCATTTTTAGGTAGCACTATTTGTCCTGAAATCTGAGGTTCTTCTCATAAAGGTTTTAAATTCTGAGTCCAGAGCTTCTGACAGTCCCCTAAATCCTGCCCATATGATTAAAAGAATTAACTAAGTTACTGTAACGTAAAATATATTTAGTACTTTTTACTACTATGTCCTAACAAAAAGGGAAATGGAAATAAGTTTAGACAATAAGATCGTTGTCTTCGAAGTCAGTTCACAAAATGAAAAGAATATAATGTGTAGTACTAGTACCAAGCTGACAGGATGAGGGATGGATGAAAATTAATTTTACAGTGTGCATGGTCAGGGTATAAGATATTATAGTCTCTTGTGTGATATAGAGGGGTGTATTAGAGGGATTTTCCTATCCTCGCTTGCACGCGGTCTCCAATGGAAGAACGGATAAGGAAAAAAGATCTCGCAATCCTAAATATGTGTTCTACAGAAGAAAGAAGGTCTCGATTTGAGTGCCGTGTCTATTTGTGTCAAGCTTATTAATCATGTTGTTCAAACACTCTATGTCCTGATTTTTTTGTGTGTGCTTTTGTTCTGTTATTGAGGAAAAAAGTGAAGCTCTCCCACTATGATTATGGATTTGTCTGTTTCTCCTTGTAATTCTATTACTTTTGTTTTCCATATTTTAAGTGCATATACAAATCTAGAACTATGTCTTCCCTGTGAATTAGTTTATCATTATGAAGTGAATATCTATGTGTAGCAAAGATTTTTGCCTTGAAGTTTTTTTTCTACTCTTAATATTGCTACAATGCATGATGTAACTTTTTCTACCCCTTTACTTTCAACCGTTGTATATCCTTTAGTTTTAGATGCATGTCTTTGAAAATCATATGGTTTGGGTTGAGTGTTGATCCAGTCTGATCATCTTCAAGTTTTAACTGGACTATTTAGTCCTTTTATATTTAATGTAATTATTGATATTTTCACATTTAAATAGCATTCTAGTTAAGTGCTACCTATTCGAAGTTGCTTTTTCTCTCTTGCCTTTATGCTGGGAATTCTGCTTCGGACCATATGCTGATCTACAAGAGGCAGCTGAGAAACTGGGCTAGACTTTTGGCAACCCAAGGGGGCTGGAGAACAAAAGAATCTTCTAAGCGTCAGGGATGAGGATTTGTTAAACCACTTCCAGATTACAGGTCTCCAAAGAGCTGCCTCCTGAAAGTAAGGATGAGCTTGAAAGAATCTGGTCTTCATTCAGATCGCTGCCTGCCTTCACTCTGGGGAACAAGGACATTATTCTAGTGGGGAGGTAAATGATAAATGATAGACGTGAAAAGTTACAAAATATTGAGTAACAATTCAAGAATTTAGAGATAAAATATCACAAGGCTTTGGTACATAATTGTCAAAGAATTATGTACTACATAATTCAGTGTTTAGAGGGAGGGCAGAACGCTTCAGCATGGGGTAATAAGAGAAAAAAAATATTTGCCTTATCAATATGCCCCCAGAGGTATACCCAGGGCTCTACACATAATGGTGCTTGGTAAGTGATGAGGTGATGACTTCCTGACCAACCCGATATATAAACTGCTAGATGTACTGCTGTCAATTTCTGTAGAGTTCTTAAAGAGTTCTGACAGGTTCATTTGTTTTATGACATTTTCGTTACCAGATTTATAATTCCTGTATCAACCCAGCCCTGAACCTCAGCTCCATAAAGAATGTTGGCCTCTTTACTCAAATACAGATTTAATAGCAGAGTTTTGCCAAAGCATGCTTTTAGTGATGTCAGCTTTTGTTATCTTGAAATATAATTTTCCAAAAAAAATAAATAAATAAGTGTCATGAAAATAGATTTTAGAAGTCTCAAGCGGTCATTTCTACCTAGATTAAAAAATAATAATAAAATTCATTCAATAATCTCTTACCGAAGGTACTAATATAAAAATTGTGCAAAAGAACTACAATCATGTAGAACACAAGATTACTTCCTTAGCTAGTTTTAAACCTACATCATTAGTGACACTCTATAGGAATACAGGAGTCACTGCAGCACGGTTGAGTAGACGCCCAAATATCAGAGGGATATGGTGTCATTACCACCAATTGGAAGTGAGCTGGTCAAGGTAATGAAAGCTGACATTTATTGGGCCCTCAGCAAGTTCCAGGCATTTCATATGTTATTCACTCACTTAATCCTCACAACAACCCTACGTGATAGGTACTACCGTGTTATTCCCACTTTACATGTAAATAAGTTAAAGCATAGAGAAGTTAAAAAGATTGCTCAAGGTCAAACGGCTATTAATCCTTTTCCCATTTAGAAAAAAAAAATGCAGCTCGCTGCCAGCATTAATTTAACATCATGCATACAAATGCCACATTTTCTAGGATTTGCCATTTTCAGAGATCGAGAATTACTATATTTTGTAAATGGAAATACCGCTATTAAAAACAGAATGCTAAAAATAGAATGATGTCATGTGTTTCCAAAGACAATCGATATATACTAGAGCGATGCGAAAATAATAATAAAAGCAAGATATTTGGTGGCAAACTTTGGGAGTGAGGTTAGGACTGTAATCAGCAAGTTATCTAAACGCTGCAGCCACAAGCGCCACAGAGTATTCTCAGGGCAAATGGGAAATGGGTTAAGTGGCAGAATATTTGACCCCAGGCTGTTGGCTCCTGAGCCCACATTCCTAACTTCCAGTCCCCTCAATCTCTCACCAGAGAATGTTATTGTATAAGAGCATGCCTTGAAGAGAACCACTTATCAGGGCCAGCTTGGAGCCACCACCCTCCTCATGAAAACCACAAAAAGCAAGAACAGCACTTGAGACCGACCTTGTAGGCTTCGACTCAAATATCTCAGTTAAGGAGATATTTTGCCCTTTTCCTCCCCAGTCCCTGCTCATCCTCACACAATGAGGAACTGCCACCGACAAGGAAGAGTAGATGAGGAAGGTTTTGAGTTTGAAAGTGAATTTTAAAATGTTCTTAATACAAAATTCCAGAATGAAATCTTAAATACCAAAACCCAAGTTACAGAAATGTGTCCTCCATGGAAAAGGGGATTTCACTGTTGCACAACTCAGAAGCAGTTTGGGGTAGTGGTGGCAGGCGAGGGGGTGGGGGAAGGTTGTGGAGACTATTTCATGTTTTTTGTCATGAGACTTCACATTGAGCCTGGGAACTGGTCTCTCTCTTTTGAGGTGATTTATACCACCCAATTTTTGCTGAGCAAGCAGGGGGCATTCTTCCTACCTCATTTCCAAGTGTTTAGGAGAATGATGCTTCACTATTGTCCCCAATTTAGACAAATTCTATAAACTAATAATACAAACTGATTCTACCAGTGATAGAGGAATTAGGAAAGGCTTCACTATGGAGATAATTCTTGGGCTGAGTTTTGATAAGCTGACTGACTGGGACGGATCTCAAGATTTGAGCTTAAAAACAGTTTGAGAGGTGTGGTCCTATGCCGGGACATCCTAGACTCAGAAAGTCTGAGAAAGACCAAGACGAGTACTAGAAGGATGACTCCAGGGCTCCCAGGACCTAGTATGGCTTCCTCAACCAAATTGTGACAAGACTTCTCCTGTCACGTAACCAATAACTTGTGATGTCATAAAGAACTCTACCCTGGTCACTTCATGTTCTCATTTAAGTCTCTGTTCAACAAATTCAAAATGATATAATCACACAAAATAAATTATAACCCTAATGCAACTTACATTTGCCGTGTTGCCAAAGTGAACTTTCTTCCTGATTCCCACACTGGTAATTGTGCCTTTTGGAGTATTGTTTTGTTTTTTTCCCTCCTTTCTTACTCTACTTTTATTATATTTTATACTGCAGGTTTGCAACAAATAAATTCACAAAAAAAGTTGGAGGAGGAACAGTTGTTGCAGGGCTAAAGTTGCCTTCCCAAATGTAGAAATTGGCTATATAAGGAATCATGTAATGTGATCATGTAAATATTTGAATTAAATATCATGAGACTTAAGTCTCAACTCTGTCATTAATTTCTTGTGTAACCTGGTTGTATTGTTTCTTGCAGCTTCACCTTGTACATGACATCCTATGGCTCGCAATCATGACCCTAAAATCCAACAAAAAAAATGGATTCAATATACAAAAATTCTCTGTGCATGTCACCTTTAGTGATACATGCATGACAGAAAAGAAGTTACAACTATAAAAGGTTAACTATTTGTTAAAAGAGTTTGATCTAATATATGCTCTATGTCTTCTTCTGGAAGGTCCAAATTTCTAAATTGCTGACCTCGAAAAAAAAAAAAAACCTGTTATTTTTCAGGAACTTACAAAATTTGAAGAGAGGATATTAACCTATTTCTATGCTTAAACCAAATTGCTTTGTCCTTTCTTTCAAAGTTGCTACAGTCCATTATCTCCATTTCTACAATATTAAAAATCTCATGACATGTTGTAACACCCCACGTGGGCATCAAGCATCTAGAGACATTTTTTCAGTTACAGTGGAAAAACTGTTCCAAATACATTCAATTATTCACCAGAGCTAAAGATCGGGGTGGGGAGTCAAGATGGGACGTACAAGAGTAATGTCTAAGTCTGTTATGGGAAGATCATATTTAATTAGATAATACATGCAAAGTGATTTGCATAGTGCCGCACAAGACAAGTGTTCCATGTTACCTAACGATTACTGTATTTAAAGAATCTCTGAGCTGATAAGAATCTTGAGAGCTCACCCTAGGATATCTATGACTCCTCTATCAAGTATGTTTAATAAAGAGAAAAATTTCATTTCCGAATCGAATAAAGATCAGTCACACAATAGTGCAGCATGCAACTAACTCAGTGTGGGGTACAAATAAAAACCAACTAACACCCGTCTTAACCAGGATGTTCTCACTGCCTCCTCCACGACGGAGAAGGGTCACGGCAAACAACCTTCGTGCAGAACCTAAGGACAAAAATTACTGTCCCGTCTTCACTCCTAAATTCCCTCGCCAGCCCTAGCCCCGAGAGCCACTCTCGCCCAGCTCAGGATTCTCTCCGCCCCTAGCTCCCGTCATCCTCCGGGGTCTTCCTTTCTCTAGCCGAAATCCCACAGAGGGTCCTTCCCTCCCTGCAGGTCGTTTGGTGATTCCCGAGGGCTGCCGAAGTCTCGCGAGGTTGGTCCCGTTGCTCTGGTAACGAGCGGCCCTGCCTCTGGGTGAAGGGCGTGGCTGTGGCTGTTAAACCACCGTAGTTACCTCGGGTCGCTTCCCTCATCGAAGGGACAACTGCCCTGGCCGGACGACTCGGGGCGGGGGTTGGGCGGGGACGAGAGGCCAGCCGAGGCGGGACAGTGAAGTCCCCGCTTCTGAAGGAAAGGAAATCACGGGCCGGGCGCTTCCTGCGGGAAACGAGTGCGCGTGGACGGACCCCGCCCCGGAAAATGAGCTCTTGCCCACACTGCCACATCCAGTCGTGAGCGTGGGAGGAACATTTTGATGGCACGAATCGTGGCTTAATCGTTCTTCCTACTAAGAAAGTCAGCGGACCTGCCTAGGTTCACCTGCTTTTGCTTCCTCTGCTTCAGCTGTGGAAGATACACTCGGAGCGCCCCTTAGATCACTGTGTGCGCGTGCGTGCGCGCGCGGTCGGCCTGTCTGTGTCTGTCTGTCTTTCCTGAAGCTCGGGTTATAGCAAGTCTGCCAGTTGGTACCCAACTCAGGGGGTTGCTGCTTGGGGTGTTCTATTCAAGAACTAGAAGCGATTGTCGCTAGGTAATTTTACTTAATTGCAGCAAGTAAAGTGGAAGATTCACATCCAAAGCTCTGGCTCACTAAAGGGTGGTTTAGCCATTGCTTGTATACACTCTTTGATTAATTAATTATATGTCGACTTCTTTGCTGTTGGCTAAACTTATCTGGCCGAGTTCTCATCAAGCTCATCAGGTTACAGCTACACCTGCAAAATACTGTGCCTACATTTTAACGATTAACAAGAATAGCATTTAGTAAGAACCACCCAGACCTTGGGACCCTGGTACGTACTCTCTAGCACTGGTGTGTGCCTCACATGCTTGGGTGAAAAAAAATAGAATCGAGATTTGTGCCAATCCAGTTTCTCAGATTTGGAATTGTGATCCCCAGGCTGAAACTTAAGTCTGTTAGTACCGAAGGTCTTAATAAGGCAGACTTCTCTGTTGCATTTGTAGTTACTGGCTATCGAGCTTGGACTGTCTTCTATGCACTCTTTTTCCTGAACAGGCTTTTCGTGGAGAGGAGCTTAAACCATTAGATTCGAAATTGGTCAGATCCTTTGGCCTTTCAAAAATAAGAGAATCTTAACAAGGAATTTCTGTTATTCCACGGCCTTAATAATGACCACTTAGGAGGACACTTGCATGGGAGAGAAAATGGTCGTTGCCAATACAACCTTCTGAAAGCTACTGAAATTTCAGTAAGACAAATATAATTGAATGTTAGAACAGAGACAGTATTTAAAGAATATTAACCAAAATATAGAGAAAAAAAATCTGTTGTAGGCATTTGAACTACTTACCAATTGAAAATTAAGCAGAAAAAATTCTCTTGCTACATTTTCACTGCCCGAATAAGGAACAGTAATTTTTCTTTGATTCGTGATATTTTTAATGCCTCAGGATTATTCTGAACTTGCTATCGCTCTGTGGTATTTAATTGTAAATATAGGGTGTAAACGATTTGGCTGCGTACCCTGGAGATTCTTTTTCGATTAAACTGTTTACTTGATTTATATTTTATTGTGATTTGGTCTCTTATAGAAATGGAAAATTTCTTCAACTCTTTGGAATTGAAGGTTTATTTAGCTATGACCTAATTAACTTAGTTTTTAGAGAAGGCTGTTGCTAATTAAACACAATCGAATATAGTTTTAGGTACTCATCTAATCTAATAAACACTTTCAATTTAAAGAGAAAACTGTCAAATAAGTTCTTTATAAATTGTTTTACAGCCTACCTACATAATAAAAGAAATTTCAAGCCAAATACTAAAGAAATGTCAGAAGACTCAGAAAAAGAAGACTATTCAGACAGAACAATCAGTGATGAAGATGAATCAGTATGTTTTTCTCAACTTTCTTACTTAAGATAAAACTTGTGTTATAAAATATAGATTCTCAGTAAAAATATTATAAAATCAATTAGATGTAAAAAATCAATTGGACATTTAAATTACTTGTCATTGAAGTTGGAAAATAATTTGAAAACGAAGATATTACTGTGTGCTGTATGCCTTATCTAAAAAGAGAACCTATACTGATAGTTTTTCTGAAAAAAAAATAAATTGGGTGAGATCCTTCTGAGTTTTATTAAAATGTGTATATTAAACCATTATTAGGGTTTCGTTTTTTTAATTCATGCCCACTTATTTTCTTGTGTGTACTAATTCTACCATGTTCATTATAGTATGTATCATAATGCTGGAACCTCATATATTCTAAACCTACAGTGTATCACCATAATAGGTTTAATGAGGCTCTGATGTAACAAAGAACTTGGTAGAAAAGGGGGGAGGGGTACAAAATGCAGTATTTAAAAATATTTTTTCTAATTCTAATACATACTTATGAGAGATTTTATTCACATTTTAGTAAAGTATAAATTATCATGTTAGTAAGTTAAGGTCCCCAAATAAGTGCCGCAAAATGATGTAGAACACTTCAAATCTATGGTTTTCTGTGTTTTTTTTTCTTTTTGTTAATTTTTGTTATTCTTAATTTAAATGGTTTTGCCAAGTTTACCAAGAATCTTTAAACTTTACTTTTTCTCTACAGTCATTAATATGACCTTACCCTGTGGAAGAAGAAGACTGAAAGATGAAAATTTTCAGGATATTTGAAGTGTTGGGTGCTTTAATAGTCCATAATAATCTTTTATTTTTTTCATTCATTATAGATTAAAGATATGTCCTTAATTCTTAGTACAGAGTAGATATTAAAAAAATTTCTGGCCTTGGAAACTGTTGATTTTTCAAAGAGAAATATTTTTAAACTCTTGTTTTAGGATGAAGATTCCTTCATGAAATTTGTAAGTGAAGATCTCCACCAGTGTGCACTTTTAACAGGTTTGAATTTACTCACATATTCTTCCTTCTCTTTATGATGAAAAGTGGATGAAAAATAAGAAGCTGAGGAAACTATAAAAAAGTCATAGTGAATAATATAGGGCATTATTATTCCGTTGTTGGATAAGAAAAGAGAAATGTATTCATTTTTTGTAAGAATCTTTTGGAGTTCAAACTCTTAACGTTTGTTTTAGCTAAACCTGACTTAATAAAACTAAGTGCAAGTGTCAATACTTTGTAAAGGACTTAACATAAGAATTTACCTTGGCATTTCTTTAAATAACAGTCTTTAAACGCATTTACAATATGACTCGAGTTATACTGGACGCAATGTTTTGGAAATTATTTAAATGAAGTGTGCCTGTATAAAGAGTCTCCTTAATAGTCATTCATTTGCAAATGTACATGTATGTGGGAATCTTGATGTATAGTTTCAAATTTATACAAATTTAGAGTTGTACTTTCAAATATACACTAAAGTATTTCTTCCAAATATTCACATATCTATCAGATATTTTGAAGTTGAAGATAAGGCATTTATTTACTTAGTCTTTTTTACCACCATCTTAAAATCTTTACTTTTGACATAACCACTATTCTCAGTTTGGTTTTATCCTTCTAGACTTTTTTCTTATTTGTACACATATCTATACCCATACTCAGAATATTTGTAGTACTATTTTGTGGACTTCTCCCTTCCGCCTTTTTTTAATTTTAAAATTTCCCAGTCTGTTGGAAAAAAGGAGGTAACTCACTGTTTTAACTAACATTTCCTTGATCGCTAAAGAAATTGAGAATTATTTCATTTGCTTGTCTACTTATTTCCCTTGTGTTATGAATTTCTCATTCATAGTAATCCTTTGTTAACTTTGTTTACATTGCTTTCGTTGTTTAGAATTATTCTGATGTTAAGTTTATCATTATTCACTTGTGACTCTTTGTTTTTATATCTGTTTAAGCTACAAAGGCCTTCTCTATCCCAAGATTATTAATATAATTATCTGTTTTCTTTACTTTTATGCACTTGTTTGAATTTTGGTATTTAATTTCTCTATAATTTACATTTATAAATAGTATGAGGTATGTATCTAATTTTGTTCCTTAATTTATAAATCACTAATAATGCCTTGCCATTTTTGAGTCATACTGTAAATTCAAAAAATGTGGTTTATTCACATAATGAAACACTAGATGCCTAATAATTGTCAAATAAGTGGATTTATATAACAACCCTGAGAAGTAGTAAAGGAAGGTAATATCATTTCTTATTTACCTATAGTAAGATTTATGTTCAAAGAGGCTACATTGGCCAACCAAAATCATATAGAAACAAAGTAGTAGAGTAGAACTGTTTGTTTGACTCCAGTTGCTTTATCTGCTATTGTACAGAAACAGCCAAGAACTAAATCTGAGTAAAAAGCCACATTTTAGAGATGGAAGAGCGAGAGGAGTCACTGAGACAAATGTAATCAAGTATGTGAAAGGTAGAGAGAAAACCAGGATGGGTAGCATCTTAAAAGACAAAGGAAACGAGCTTAAGGAGGGGTGATTATCAACATCTAATTGATGTCCCAGTTATCCCATTGAAAGAGAGGGGGCCTCTGCACTAACCCCATTATATTCTATGTGAATTATGTTCCTGGGGTGATGTCACACAGTGGCCCTAGAATGAGAACTGAGAAAAAGTCGTGAATGAGAGTTCACAGTCAGCCTTTGAGAAGATGGTTCTAGTAGGTGGTGAGGAAACATAGTCAGTAGGTGTATTTAACCCATTAGATGAATAGTTGCCTCAGTGTGGTTTTTAACATGACTCAACAATAAACAGTTTGCTAGGAAAACTGCAAGAAACAAATGCAATCCCTGTCAAAATCCAAAATGTTTTTGGAGTAGCCATGCGAATTTAGCATAAATTAATAATATTTGAGGTCAACAATTGTTTTTAGCTACTGTGAAGATCAGTCATTACAAAGTTTAATTAGTACTTTTATTTTTAAAATGCCATGAGTTATGAAGTATTTATAATTGCATCCACAAATATTCACAAATTAATGGTGTCAACTTGGTATACTCTTCCATGCTTTGCTTCTTATCACTCATGATTGTGTTTGAATCTTTTTTCAGCTGACCCCATTAGTGACCCATGTTTCCCCCGGACAACACAGATACTATTGGAATATCAGCTAGGGAGATGGGTGCCTCGTCTTCGTGAACCACGAGATTTATATGGTGTCTCTTCTTCTGGTCCACTGAGCCCAACACGGTGGCCATACCACTGTGAGGTCATTGATGAAAAAGTCCAGCATATTGGTATGTTCTTAGCAGTTTTGGGGACTCAAACATTAGTAAATTTACTTTGCCAACCTTGATTTTAATAAAGAGACTCATGGTGTTTATTCCAACAGAAATATAATGTTGGAATATATAATGATACAGATATATAATTTTAAATTTTCTAGTAGCCACATTTCAAAAGATAAAAAGAAACAAGTGAAATTGATTTCAAAAATATATTTATTTAACCCAAATATATTCAAAATGTTTTACATTCTTTTTTTATATGAAGTCTTTGGAAACTGGTGTGTAGTTATTCTTACATTTCAATTCAATTCCAATTTCTCTACATCCTTGCCAACATTTTTCTTTTGGTTTGTTTTTTGTTTTTGTTTTTGTTTTTGATGATAGCCACCCAAGAGGTGTGAGATGATATCTCACTGTGGTGTTGATTAACATTTCCCTGAAGATCAGTGATGCTGATAATGCAATCCCTGTCAAAATCCTAATGACGTATTTTACAGAAATAGGAAAACAACTCTAAAATTCAGCTGGAACCACAAAAGGCTACAAATAACCAAATCTTGAGAAGGAAGAGGAAAACTAGAAGCATCACATTTCCTGACTTCAAAATATATTACACAGCTACAGTAATCAAAACAGTATGGTACTGGCATGAGGATGGACTTTTGGAAAAGAAATGGAACAGTCTAGAAAGCCCAGAAATAAATCCGCATATGTATCAGGAACAGTCTAGAAATAAATAAATCTGCATATGTAATGGAACAGTCTAGAAAGCCCAGAAATAAATCCGCATATGTATGCTCAACTGATCTTTGACAAGATTGCCAAGAATACACAATGGGGAAAGGATAAAGGATAGTCTCTTCAACAAATGTTGTTGAGAAAATTGGATATTCACATGCACAAGAATAAACTTGGATGACCCCTGTCTTACAGCAAACAAAAAGAATCAATTCAGAATGGATTAAGGACTTAAACATAAGACTTGAAACTGTAAAACTCCTAAAAGAAAACATAGGAGAAAAGCTAATGACATTGTTCTTGGCAATGACATCATGGATATAACACCAAAAGCACCTACAACAAAAGCAAAAATAAAGAAATGAGACATCATCAAACTAAAAAGTTGATGCACAGAAAAGAAAATAATCAACACAGTGAAAAGGCAACCAATGGAATGGGAAAAATATTTGCACACCATATATCTGATAAGAAGTTAATCTCTAAAATATGTAAGGAATTTCTACAGCTCAAGAGCCAAAAAGCTAATAACCAGATTTTAAAATGGCCCAAGAACTTGAATAAATGTTTTTCCAAAGAAGACGTACAGGTGTATCTATTGACTTTTTATGTAAACTGATAAAAATATTTGCCCATTTTGTTGCTAGTTGTACTTTTCATTTCCTTCTTGATTTGCAAGTGCTCTATATATTTATTCAGGAGATTGGCTTACTATATCATGTATGTTGCATATTTTTTTCTGGTTGTCATTTGCCTTTTATCTTTGTCAAGTAGAAATTTTTAATTTTTATGTCATCACTTTGTCTCTTTGCTATGGCTTCTGGATTTTGAAATTCTCATGTTTCTCTTAGCACTTTTCAAGTTGTATTTTTTGTGATTAAATTTTTTCCATCAATCCATTTTGATGCAAGAAATGAGCTCCCAGTCCATTTCTGTTAACTGTCTAACCAGTTGTTCCAACAAAATTATTAAATTATTTTTCGACTGCTGATTGGAAATGCTACAATTATTAGTAAACTCCTAGGTCTAATTTTGAATTCTATTCCATTAACCTGTCTTCATCATGGTGCTCAAAAACCTTTAATGCTATAGCTTTAAAACTATAAATTTTGATATGCGATAAACTTAGTTCCCCCTCATTCCTTTTATTTTTTAAAAAATTTCCAATTTCTTAGCTACTTTTTGCCTTATTGTATTTCTATATGGAATTTAAAATAAGCTTTCCTGGTTGTCCCAAAATTAATACTGGTAACTTTATTGTGATCACATTACAGTTATAGATTAAGAAAGAGTGACATCTTTACAATATTGCATCTTCCTAGCCAAGAACAAGGTATGTCTCACTATTTATTCTTGTTCTCCTTATTCTCCCTTAGTATAGTTTAAAATTTTTCCTGTACCTTTTCTAAGTTTTATTGTTAGGTATTTTATTTTGTTGCTATTTTTTATTAAATTTATTGGGGTGACATTGGTAAAGAAAATTATATAGGTTTTAGTTCAGTAATAACATCATATGTATATTGCACTGTGTTCACACCCAAAAGTTAAATTTCCTTCCATCACCATATATTTGACTCCTTTTACCCTTACCTGCCCCCATTCCCCTTTCCCTCTGGTAAACACTAAACTTGTCTGTGTCCATGAGTCTCTCTGTGTTTGTCTTGTTCGTTTGTTGCCTTATTTTGTTTTTATTTTAAATAGAATCTTTATTGCATATTACTTTCTAACTTGTTTTGTAGAGTAAAGTTAAGTTTTGTGTATTAATTTTCAAAGTTTCCACCTTTTTCTAGTTTTTAAGTTGTTGTATATATGCTTGTTATACAATTGTATCATCTAGTAATGATGTAATTAAATCTCATTTCTAATGTCTATACATCATACTTCTTTTTCTTGACTGAATTGATTTGTACTTTCAGAAAAATACTTAATAATTTTACATTCATCTGGTTTCCTCATTTTAATGAGAATGCTGTTAGTGTTTTCTCTTTAAGCAAACAATTGGCTTATCATTTGAAATAAATTTGCTTTTGATCCTATTAAGGAAGTATCTATTTATTCTTGTATTATTAAGAAACTTTACCAGGAATAATTACTAAATTTTATTAAATGCCTTTCTAACATCTATGGAAAGTATCATAATGTTCTCATTTGGTGTTTTACTTTAGTGAATTATACTGGTAGCTTACTTAATATAGAACCAGCTGTATATTATTGGAATAAACTGCAGTTAGTCATTGTGTATTTTGTGTGTTGCTAAATTCTGTTTGCTGATATTTTATAAAAGATTTTTGCTTTAATGTTCATAACTAAGATAAATTTGTAATTTTCTAGCTTTTGTACTTTTTTAGATTTTAGTATAAATGTTATTCAGAATTCTTCCTTATATTCTAAAACAGTTTGAATAAAACTGTAATAGTTCTTTTAAAATTTGATAGACTTCCCCTAAAACAGTCTGGATATACTTATTATTGTTGTTTTAGAGCTACAGAGAATATTTTTATTGTAAAACTTCTGTTCTTCTTTGTTAATTCTGTTTAGGATTTCTACCTATTCCAGGGACAGTTTTGGTTATTTATATTTTCCTAGAAAAATAATGCTTTCATAAAGGATTTTTAATTCATGTACATAGATTTAGTCAAAGTATTCTCTTGTAATTATTATACTTTCCTTTGACTATATGGGATTTTTTTCCCTCTGTTGTAATATTTTATGTTAAGTATTTTTTGCATTCTTATTTTCTTCTCCCCTGATTATGTTAGTGGGATTTATCTTGTTAGTTTCTTCAAATAATCAATGTTTGAATATATTTATTAGTTCTGTTGTATTGTTTTCTAATTCATTAATTTATGATTTTTTTATACATCAGATTTAAGTTTATTTTGATGGTTTTTATTTAACCTTTATTTTTGTATTTAACTTCTTGTTTCCTAATTTTTTATTATGAAAAATTTCAAATATAGAGAGAAGTTGAAAGAATTGTACAGGGACACTCAAAACTCACCAGCTAGATTTTTATTATCAATTATTTGCCATATTTATCACATATGTAGCCAACTATCCATTCCTCTCTCTACCCATCTACTACCTCAGTTTTTTATTTATTTCAAAGTAAGTTGCAGACATCCTTACATTTCACCTCTAACATGTTAGCATATTATTAGCTAGAGTGTAATCTTTGTTTATGATTCTTTTTTATTTTTGAGGTAAATTTTATGTTCAACGAAATATTATGTTCAATGAAATGTGTAGGTCAACGAATTTTAGCAAATGCATACATCTGTGTAATCCAAACTCCTACCACAATGTAGAACATTACCATTATAAATACTTAGGTGTAAATCTAACAAAATAAGGATAAGACGTGTGCTTAAAATAAGGATAAGACGTGTATAATGCTAATGAAAGAGATCAAAGAAGATCTACATAAATCAAGAATTATACCATGTTTGTGGATTGGAAAACTCAATATAGTAAAGCTGTCAGTTCTCCAAATTGATGGGTTCCAGGCTATTCCTATCAAGATTATTTTGATAGATAAGGCATGATTATTCTAAAATTTATACAGAAAAGGGGAGTTATAGAATTAAA